TCACTGGCACGGAGTTGATGGATTATTTTTAGGCAATAAATATTATGTCATGTGGCTATTATTGAGCCAAACTAAGTGTTGTTAGCTACATTTTCTTGAAAACTAAAATATTTGTATCCGGTAGTGGACACTGTTATTGTAGAGGTATTTGTAGACCACAGCAAGGTAAAGGTAAATCAAACCATAGAATGCTGGAAAAGTAAACATTTCTTTTATAATTTGTTTTTAATTCTACTTTGTGAATGTTTGTGATAATATATGTCTTAAATACCAAATGAGCAGTTGTTACAAATATGTAATTTAACTGCTTGTGTGATAATTTTATATTATTTCTATTTTCTCCTTGTTTCATTACATTTTATTGTAATGAACATTTACATTTAACATGAACATTACATTTACATAATTTATATTTTATTGTAATGAATATTTTCTACTTTTTTGATATTTTTCGAAATTTCAGTATTCTGTTTTGATCTGATTAGAACGTAAAAGCTTACATGAGCATTATTTTTAGCTCACTTCGTTTCACAGATGTGTAAACATCAAGTGAAAATGATTGGCTATTACCAAGGTCATGTTCTGGCTAACACGTAAAATGGCATTTTATATACTGCACTGTTTGTCGATTACTTTCCATATGATTCCTATTGCACCAGTGAAATTATTTTTAGTTGGGTTTAAAATACTCCTATCTCTGTGAAAGATTCATATTTTTTTACACCATTAGACCTCAAGGTGTTTTTTTTGTAAATGTCAGTTTGTTCTTAAGTTCATCTTTTTCTTAGAAATTATATATTGATTCTCTGGAAAACTATGCAAGTGCTTCTTTTGTATAAACTGTTTGGGACATTCAGTGGAAAATTATTCTGGATTGAATCATTATAAGTTGTGATTCAGTGAGGAACTGTTGACATTCGTATAAAGACTTCACAGGACGTCATCCTCCTCCTTCTTGGAACCTCGTTGAGATTCGAACCTGGATTCAGTTAGAACTGTTTAGTGATAGGCCTTATATTATTCAATTCTATGATAAAAGTTTGGGTTATATTCACAAACTGTAAGTCCCTTTTAACATTTTTACTGTGTTTTCTAGAGAAATAAATTATTCTGTATAAATATACACAGCTTGTTGGCTTCACTCTTTTCTTTTGTTACTTTCATGAGCCTATAAACAACACATTTAAGTATACCTGTATCTCTTTTTAAAACAATAAAATTCCCCACCCTCCTTCACTTTGTAGTAGCAGTTTTAATCATTTGTTCATTTCCTGACTGAAAACTGGTTAAGTGACTATACATTTCATAAATAAAACATTAGCATTTCTTTTAGAATAACGATTGAAACCATAGGAAAGAGAAATAACTGACATTCAATATCAGTGTGATTTCAACACATGATTAATGTCCATTATGCACAATATAATTTTTTTTATTTGTATTCGTTTTAGGACTTTTAAATGAATATGGGATAATTGATGGAATACTAAGTATTATACAAGCCCCACGTCCTAATTAACAGGAGAAATACACCTTTAGCATGGATTGAGTTTTTTTGCAAGTTAGTATCCTATGCTTCCACCACAATCTCAAAATCTGGTGCACTTCTTGTGGAAATCATGGAAATTATATGCCAAATATTTTTCATTACTGCACTTCCATGTGCAGCTATGTTGATGCTAGCAGAAGACAAACCATTAGTTTCCATTTTCAACAATATATTTGTCAGGTACATTTATCAGTTTGTTGTGTTATTTTGCCTTCTCACAGTGCATAGTCTTTAATAGAAGCAGTGTAATGTATTTTTGTGGTTGAATATACATTTCCAGAGATGAATATTTAATTTATTTTGAGGGTGACTTAATTACAAATGTATATAAATTAGTGCAAGTACACAATTTTTTTAACTTACTCCATTGTTAATTTGAAAAGCAGAACAGTTCAAAAAAATATTATAATAACTGTTAGCAGCGAATGACTCAACACTGAAGCTAAGATCCAGAATGCACTATTAAGCAGAGATACTTCTAGTGTTTTTATCATAAGGAAAGATCCCCCATCGCAAAAATAAGGGTGAGGAGGAAATGACCAAATTTCAATAGGTACATAACACTTCAATATTCATCTCTCTCTCTCTTCCTGCATTGTTTTGTAAGTCTCCCCCCAAACAGTTTTTAAACTCATTTTGCATTTAGTTGTAAAAACATCACTCTGTTGGTTCTGAGCTTAAGCTGTTCCTTATCTGTGTATTTATATTCTTCTGTACTAGAACACCCTTTAACAGCCAACTATTTGGAGTGGTATATACATAGCTAGCCTATTCAGCTGGAACAAACAGGGAAACTTATTTATAGTTGTTAGGTACAATTTTACACCTATTGTCTTTTGGATACTTCTGTTCCAAAAAAAGTTTTCATTAACATAAGCTCTGCCAATGTTGAATTTTCTTAAATATGCTAGCACTTATACATACTACAATGCCAGATGTACTGTTCTATATTATGAGTTTAAGTCCATAAATGCTACTTGTTCAGACAAAGGAACTTTGATTAAATGAATATCTTTACATCTCAGTTTCATTTTTATTCTTTTTTATTAAATTTATAACAATCTTTATGCTATGGTTTTATAGTGCATGAACCCGCAGAGGTAAATTTCGACAAGAACAGAAACAAAAAGTGGACTAATTTTAAATTGTCTGTATTTAATTTGGTTTGTTGTTTGTTTGTCTGGCCTTTGTACATTTCAAATTATTGCTGAAATGAGGGTATGACTATCATGCTCTTTTGTTTGAACTAATAATGAATTCAGCATGTACACCGGACTTGTATGTAATACCATTTTCGGGTTCAAAATCGCTAATTGGTATCTCCATTGACACTTTCTTAATAATCTTGTTTACTTCCTAATTTTTAAATAAATTGCACCACTTCATCTGCAGATCTAAGTAATTATCAAGAGGTGAACCATGCTGGAATCAGCAATTTTGGGTCTTCTAGATAGCCTCCATTATAAAAGACTTTTGTAAAACTTCTTTACAAGGTTCAAAGTATGACAGAATTCTTGTCACTGGGGCTCTATCAATCAAATTATTTTAACTACTAATCATGTCAATCACAAAAATCCCAGGAGTAACATTTATGAAAATAAGACATGTATGGACAGGATCTAACATACTTCTACCAGCTTGACAGGTGTCCGACAAGTATTTTAAGGAGAACAGCAGATTAATAATTGTATACTGTGCTGAGAACAGTTTTGTATGCACAAGTTTAAAGTAATTTTTGTGAGTTCTTGTACATCACTGATTTCTAAGTGCATGAACTTGTATCCATTTCTTTTATCAATTCATATGATGCATGCTCCAGTAGCATCTTTGATTATGTGTGAAGTTTAGATTACTCTAATAAAGAAAATGTTAATATATTCATGAATTATTAGTACAAAAAAGACTCATTGTCATTGTGCATTACAAGTAAGACTCATTGTCATTAAGCATCACAAATAAGACTCATTGTCGTTGAACATTACAGATAAGACTCATTGTCATTGAGCATTACAAATAAGAGTCATTGTCATTGAGCATTACAAATAAGACTCATTGTCATTGAGCATTACATATAAGACTCATTGTCATTGAGCATTACAAATGAGACTCATTGTCATTGAGCATTACAAATAAGACTCATTGTAATTGAACATTACAAATAAGACTCATTGTCATTGAGCATTACAAATAAGACTCATTGTCATTGAGCATTACAAATAAGACTCATTGTCATTGAGCATTACAAATAAGACTCATTGTCATTGAGCATTACAAATAAGACTCATTGTCATTGAGCATTACAAATAAGACTCATTGTCATTGAGCATTACATATAAAACTCATTGTCATTGAGCATTACAAATAAGACTCATTGTCATTGAGCATTACAGATAAGACTCGTTGTCATTGAGCATAACAAATAAGACTCATTGTCATCAAGCATTACTTGTGCATCAGGTAGTAGAAACTATCTGACTTTGTCCCTCAAAATATTTTTATCCCCTATCATCTGTAAAAGGGGGATGCTGTGTTATGCACTTGATAACCTAGGTGTAACTCCGTAAATGGAAAGGGATTTCATCCTAATAACATACATGTGGTTATTAAATGATGAAAATATTGTGTATGTGCTCCATATTATGCAATAAAATGGAACTCAAAAGGATGAAAATTTAAACAACAGAGGATGCGGAAAGAATAAAACAATGAAATAAAATCTGCTTTTATGTAAATTTTATATATAAAAAATGTAGGTTTTATTTTTACATCAGATAGCAGATATTGCCAAATCATGGCCCTAAGTGTATTAGAATGAATAAAGGAAATACTTAAAAGACTAAAACATCTTACTATGTATGTGATACACCTATCATAAGGATTCTTAATATATTTCACAATTGAATTGTCTTATATCTCTTCACTTCAAAATCTGAATAGTCAATGGTCAAATCTGAATCTCATGAAGCACTCATTTCATGCCATGATCCTGGGATTATTTCTTATTCATGTTGCAAACAGATGCTCACGATTTCTCATCTCACATTGAATAGTGGGATATATTTTTACAGTATATGTAACTGATGCTTATGATTTCTTACAACTTGAGGAGATTTGTTTTCCCTCTCGTCACATCTGTCGCTAACTTTCAGTTCCTTTTGTGTGCAAGGATTTGAATGAGAGGTTGTTTATGAGACTTAGGAAAGAATGTGATATGATGTGATTATGAGTTTTAACGTAGCTTTAACAGTTTTTCAGTCATATCACTACAATGCCTGCAGTATAGCAGCTTATAGTGATGTCTAGCAGTGGGGAATCATGCCGCAGACATGTAGCATGATGTCCCACCCAGTCACATTATCCTGACACCAGGCTGACCAATCCTAACACTAATATCTTAATGCTTAGCGTCAAGCGAGGCAGTTGTTAGTACCATTTTTGTAAGTCTTTGGTATGACTTGGCTGGGGATCGAACCCACGACCTCCAACATTTGAGGAGGATGCTCTAACCATTAGGCCACCGGAGCGGTTCTTAGAAAGAAAATATACTTTTTGAACCACTGTCATTAATTATTATTATCCAATGTATAAAGGTTTAATGAAGATGTGTATATCTCACTGCCAAGAAGTTGTAAGAAAAAAAACTTGCAAACATCTTGTTTCATCTACAAGATTACTCACATGTGACAAAAGATGGTATTGCTTGTTACGTTTCACACTTTCATATCCTCAGTGGCTTTATCCTTGAATAACTTCTTTTTAGAAGAACAGAGATTGTCGTCATCGTGACATTAGAATATGGCAATGACAAAACAACCATACTCAGCCTGCAAGAAATATCAAAATTCTGGTTCAATGTGACTGATATTTTAAAGTTGTTGATTGGTCTCACATACTCCAAAAAGACAACTTTCTCCTGTGGTTTTCTTTTTTTATTTTATTATAGTGAGAAAGTTTACAAAATGAACTAACACATGTACTGACTTCATTAAATGGTCCTCATTAAATGTCTTGAGTAATGCAAGAAAGTCAAGCCACAAAAAGCAAAGGTGAGCAGATTAAAAGATGTGAAAGCTGTATATAACCTCTTAATGTGAACCCATATTCTCTTTCGCTTTTAATCCCATTATTGCTTATAACACCTCATAAAATAACTTGCATTTGGCATCAACTCTCCAGATTAAAAGGCAATCAATTAACAACTTGATGCATACATGCATGGCATTTGTAACCTGATTGCCACAAACCTTTGCACCTATTGTTACATTGCTGGCCTAAAGTACACGACTTGTTACTATATTATGAGGTGAATATGCAAATATTCTGAGTATTATGTTCTTAAATTACTTCTTTATATTTTGGCATTGAAATATTAAACATAACACAGTACTTTACACATAGTAGATGGTCTTTAAAATGGTATTTTGTCATACATGAGGCATAATCATATGCGTGTTGATATACAAACACAGATGTTTGAATCAAAATATAATAAAATCAAGTCATAATTCATTCCCTCTTCCTCTAGCAATAAGCGTCTATTATAATCTCAGTACAATCTGTCCTTGATATAGCTATGTTTAACTAAGTATGACATTAGTAACCCTGTTGGTCAGTTCATATTGATGTTACATAGGGCTGATATGGCATAAAAAGTAGTCTAGCAAATGTCAAATATTGGCATATTTATATCAGTTTCTTACGGAAAATGTATGCTCAATTCAAAATCAATGTGAGTCACAAAAACACACAGATTGAGCTTTCCATGCATCAGACATGGGGTAAAATTTAATTTCCACACATCAAATCCTGAATATATGCATCTGTGTGTTATTTTTGGGTGGCTGAAAGAACAACATTGTCTTTGATTAACTTTGCAAACCAGTTACATCATTTTGTTTCTTTTAAAAACATGCTTTTTAATTTTCCTTCTCTGTGTACTATGCAGAAATGCATTACATGTTTCACAAGTTTTTTTGACATTTTGCTGATCTCTGGATAACAGGGAAAAGTTGCATGTATTACATACATGCCAACCATTATGCTTCTGGCATATTCATTATGTTTTTTCCAGTTGTTTTTCCTGAATATGGATTATGCTTTTCTACTACCTTCAATTTACTTTTACAACATTTCTACTTTACTGCCAAGATAAACTGAAGAATTAAGAATCTAAAGAATTTAGAGAAAAAGAGACTTATTTGAACATAATACCTCTGTATATTTTAAACAGAGTTACCTAACTTAATACCTAACATAATACCTCTATATATTCTAAACAGAGTTGCCTAACTTAATGTTATAGAAGAGGATCTTCCTATTGACATTTTTGACTATTCAGAAAATAGTTCCATTAAGAAGGATTCCTGAAATGCTATCAAGGATTTCTCAGAAAAATAAATTGAAAAATGTTAAAACAATCATGAACTCCTTGGTTATCTGTAAACAAAGTGGTTTTTCACAAATGATGAAAAAGTCTTTACAACTGTACTCAGTGTTTTGTGTAGCCAGAAGAATGCAGAACAGTTGAAACAGTAGACATCTTATCCAATACTAAATGAAGTTGATCTATATATTTTTAATATTTGTAATCACCTTACTATTTGAGGCAGCTACATTAATATGTTACTGTTTTTCATTGGAAGGGGTAGGCAGCTCTGTTTTGAATGGACAGAGGTATTTTGATAAAAGTAGCATTTTTTAAAACATAACTTAGATTCTTAATTCTTCCATTTATCATGACAGTAAAAATGTTTTACTGCATGGTGTGCAGTTTTATATGAATGACTTTGAATTCAATTTGTAGGAGTTCTCACACATTACTGCTTTCCAAGTGTATTTATTCTTAAGACATTTGTATGATTCACTCATTTGACAGTCCTGGCACCATCTCTCTATATGACACATTGTGTATCAAAGTGGTTGAGTTGAGTTTCTGACTAGGACATTCAGGAATGTTTACTTGACACTTGATTTGAAAATATATCCAATAAACATATGATACACTGCAATAAGCATATGCACTTTTTGTAATTAGTCGGGACAAACTGGTGGCCTAAGTGGTTACAGCATTTGTCTTAGAGACAGGCTGTCACAGGTTTGAACCCCTGCCAAGTTCTGCCAAAAACTTAAATAAAAATAGTATGTGTTGCTCAGCATTAAGAGGTTTGTCTAAGGACTTGTGGGCGTAATGTCAGGATAATGTGACTAGGCGGGGCATAATACTACATACCTGTGGCATGATGCCCAGTGCTAGACATCACCATAAATTGCCAAACCGCAGATATCGTAGTGATATGACTGAAAAACTTTTAAAGCTATGCTAAAAATCTAAATCACAGACACTATTGATTGCTGCAAAAGGGTTAAATACCTGATAGTTTCAAATTTATTTTCATATTTGTGTTTTATTTTATCCAGATAATATAGTTACTCTTATTTATCAAACAATAACAACTTGCAATATATATGAAAGTGACGTGTTTAGGGATGGGTGTGATGGGATCAAAGTTCAACATATGACTGATGTAATCATATTAACGTTGTTTTTTTTTCTTTTTAAACCAAGCCTTATTTGTAGGTATATATCACTATGACACTATCCAAGGGATATGGGGTAGTTACAAATCCTTTGTCATATGCAGGGTTATGATGGGATAGGTAAGAAGATATAATAAAAAGCATGAGGATTTGGATTTTAACAACATCAAAAGCTCTAGTTTACATATCACAGAATGTTATTACATGATATATAACATTGTTTTATGATGATGTTTAGCTGATAGACTTAATTGTTAGTGTAATGTTAATTTATTTGTTCATTATTAAATATATTATTTTATCCATTTCACACTGATTTGCAAGAAAAAGTATAAAATATTATTGAGGATTATTGTATAAATATAAATGATGTAATAATTTGTGGCGAAAACAATGGATTCCTACTTGGTGAATTTGGTTGTCTTTATTAGAAATTCCTTCAGTCACCATACAGTGCACTTAGCTGGGATGTACACTGGAAGTACAGTGCAGAGCAAGAGTTCTCATAGAAGAAACATTTAGAATTCCAAACAGTTCTTTCCTATACTTGCAAGATGGAATGTGAAAAACTTCTCTCTAACCCTGTATATATTGTCACACGTTCTTAATAACTTAGACAAAAGCCAGACAACATTAGCACAGGTGGGACAATTTCAAATGAGGAATTAATTATAGATAACAAAGATAATTTGATGTTGATCAAATGGGATGGAAATGCTTTGATTATATATGCAGGATACATTTGTAATTCTTTTAAGTAAAGACAAATTAATATTCCTTAAAATATCTTTTAAAAGAGAAAACAGTCAACAGAAATGCATAATATTTTGGCAAATAGATGTGCAAAGAAAACACAGGTTATCTCCTTTATTACTGACAAGTGCATTGGAGACACTGATCTGTGAAGAATTCTGTGAAAGAGAAAACCTTATAGGAACTCTTCATCCAGCTGGGTGTCATGTTCTTATCTCTGTCAATAACTTTCAATTTTAATATTTCCAATATACCAAATATTTCTTTTGTAGTGCATTTATATCAACAAATTCTAAAGAATCAAGTGTATCAGTGAAATTAGAAATGAATCAATCCATTCTGAAAACATGGGAAACTGGATATAATATTATCTGAATGAACAGTGCCTATATATTTTAAGCTTCATGATTTAGATAATATTATAAAATATAAAAATATGTTTATAATTGCATATAATATAATATATAAAGAATCTCATTAAATAATTTCTATTCAATACATTTTAAAAATTATTAAAAAATACTGTATAATTGAGTGTACCAATATAAGAATTTTAATTTCTTCGGATGTCATGAAATACTAAAATTTAAAGTTAAATGTATCACATGATATTATTATAATGAGTCTAAAAGAGATGCATAGTTCGTTTTTTTTTCTAGTTCAAAATGCTCCCCTTCAGCATTTGCAAAGAAACATGTTCTTTCTGATCTCTTATTCTCTCCAACACTTGCATTATCACTCTTAGTACATAGTGATATAACAGGCACTGAATCTGAAAAAGAAATTATTACAGAAGTAAATTAAAAAAAAATAAAGATCAATAAGGAGCAAATAGTGTTGTGTGCATTGGTCTAATGTTTACTTTTATGTTCCGTTAATAAATATGATGTTCTATGGAGATCTCATTTCTAAAGTATCAATCACAACTATTGGTATCTTTTTTGCTTAAACAATTTTTAAGTAATCATCGTGTTTATAACACTGAATGATTTGATATAATATGGCACTTTGTATATAGTATAACAGGCAGTGACATTAGTAAAAGGGAGATAATCACTTGGTTAATTTTAAGATCATTTATCATTTTTTCAAATGAATAACATTAACATGGTATTGATAATTTAGTAGCATGATTTAAAGTTTTTGTATTGTTTAAACAGTTGCTAAATATATACTAGCACTTGTAAAAAGTGGACAACTGTCTCACTCTAATTATGGTCCACTGAAAAAATGG